GGGCCGGTATCCACCTGACAGGCCTCTTCGATCCTGCCAAATGAGAAGACCGTTGAACCAGCACCTGCAGAACCTCCAGAGGCAGAATCCCGTGGCGTTTCTCTCAGACTGGTAGCTGGTAGTCCGATGGTAGACAGCTTCCCTTTCCCTTTTTCCATTTGTGTAGGCCCCAACCATGGAGACTACCGAGACGGAACCCACCATGGAGACTCAACAGGCAGCAAGGGAACTCTTGTTTACAGCAGCTCACACACACAGATGGAATGCAGGCATTTTACATTTGGATTTATTTATATTTATATATTAATATATGTATATATATATATGCATCTCGCAGACACATGTATACAAGAGTATGTGTCTGTTGAAGAGTATGTGTACATGTATATATGTATATACAGTATATACACATATTCTGGGCTGGGGCCGGCATCCACTGATGGAAGCAGCTTTGTTGAAAGCAAATTCCACGCAGATGGAATGTGTGTATGTTAGTTTTCAGAACCGTTTGGGGTTTTGGAGAGAGTGAGCCCCAGGCCATGCTCCTGACCAAGAATGTGAAAAAGAAAGATGGTAAATTGCTGGGTCTTCTCATTCATGCAGAGCATGCCATGAAGTTCTTGGCCGAGCCGATGGAAAGAAAAGTCTATGAAATTCGATCCAGGCCATTGAATTTCCTTGAAGAGGGCGATCAAATTGCCTTGATCAGTGTGGAAAGCAACCCCTGCCGATGGAGGGTCATTGGCATCTTGGAGTTTCAAGCTTCTGTGAAAATCAACTGGGCGCTTTTTGACAAGCACTTCCAGCTCCACCGCGTGCCCTGTGGGGAGGCATTGATAGAAAACATGAAGGAAAAGCACGACCATTGCTTTGGGTGGCACTTTGAGCTGGCTCACACTTGCAAACCTCCCCTTGTTTTCAAGGATCGTATTCTTGGTCCTCAAGTCTGGGTTTATTTCTCCGTTGGCCACCTGGAAGGGGTGAGTGTAGATGCGGACGAGGTCTTGCCAAGGAAAAGGTCAGCAGAGTCATCAGACATGGATAGCTTCAAGAGAAGCAAAACTTCACAGAGTGGGCTTTCTTCGGACGCTACTGTTGCAGCAATGCCACTGCACCTTTCCTCTGAAGATATTCATGCCGTTGAAGAACCAACAAACGAAGACGCTGATGGCAACATTTTGGAGATATGCGGAGACAACCTGCTGTCCATAGTTTTGAAAGATTCAGAGTGGTGTGGCATTTGCAAGGGAGGCACCAGCATCTTAAAACCCTACCGCACCGCAGAGGGGAAGCTGCATGTCTTAGTTTCCCGGGAAGCCGGCCTGTTCTTCGTTGGGGTGATCAGGGTTGCTGACTGCCAACAGGTGGAGCCATGCAAGCTAGGAGGTTCTTGGCCACTAGACATGTACAGCCAGTATGACCTCAAGCACATGAAGTCCTTAAAGCGGCTTTATCAATGGAGTGTGGACAGTGTTGATGCGGTAAACACAGAATCTCTGGTACGTCCGCTGCAAACAAAGCATTCTGGCAAGGCCCCATTCTGGAAGGCGCGATCTGATTTCATGTATACACCTGCATCTCCTCCAACAAGACTATGCTTGAAGGAGACGGCCCGCTACTTTTTTGATGCGTGTGGTGAGAACTACCAACAGATCTTGCTGGAGAATCTCAAATCCCTTGATGGGAAAACAATCAAGATAGGGACTGCATGCAGCGGTACGGACATCTGTGTGGAGGTGTTGAAGCAAACGGTGGAGTTTTTTCAACAAGCAGCAGGCTGGGGGTCAACAACCCCTTGGGGTCCACGCATTCTAACAGTGTACGCCGTGTACGCCTCTCTTTGGCTGGTCCTGGTAGTAAACTGCCCAGTTTGGCCTTTAACAACAACATTAATGAGAAGGCAAGTCTAGCTGAAAACCCCCTTGCAGGGTCTCAATATAGCAGTTGAGCACATCTTTTCATGCGAGCTTCATCCAGACAACCGCTCCTTCCTGATGAAGGCTCATAAGGGCGTCAAGCACGTCTTCTCAGATGTGATTTGCTTCAGCGAGGATCAGGGCTTCTGCCACGTGTGCGGGTGTGAGCACAAAGTATCTGATTGCTGCTCCGTTGACTTGTTCATTGCCGGGCCTTCTTGCAAAGATGTATCACGACTGAAGTCTCAGCGGGTTGAGCACGTGGGCTGCTACGAGGACACCACTGAGGATGTGGGGACATCAGGTTATACATACCGGCATGGCTTCCTTGGTGTGGCTCGACTCTGCTGGCATTCTATCTGTGAGTGGTATCTATATAAAACAACGGTTTCCTTTCCAGGATTTGATTGTGGTGCGGGAATGCGTGTCCAGTGTCCTTTTTTTTAACATGTTTTCAGACTTCAAATCATCAAGGCAGTGAAGCTCCTTACGCCAGCGCTCGCATTCTATGAGAATGTGGCGTCTGTCTGTGATGCCTCCAAGGACGTGCACGGAAACCAAAGAGAGCAGCCCATCCAGGTGGGCTCAAGTTTTTGGGGAAGGCGACGGAGGTTCAGCAATTCCAACTATGTATGTTTTTCACTTCCGTGTTTTTGGGAAGAGGACGGATGTTCAACGATTTGTGGGCTCAAGAGAAAACCACACACCCATTATCACACATTCCAACTGTTTCTGGGCTTCCATGTCAGGTCGTGCACCGGGACATGCAAGAAGCAGGGTATGCATTTGACACTGGGTCATTGTGTAAAAGCATTTTGTGTGACTTTTT